ACAAAACGATCAACTGTAGCAATTAAATTAATTACCTTCAAGTCAGATAAGCAAGGATCCTTAATTGTTTAAAAAGAAAAAAGAGCTTACATTCAGTAGTACAATTTAAACTAATTGCTTCATTCAGTGAACAGTTAGTACACATTAAATATCCACCAAAAATACAGCATGTAGTCCCCATATTTCTACTTGTTCTGCACCTCACCTAGAAGTCTTGCATATAGATAGATATTCAAAGCTAATTTATTCAGCAATTATTGTGTATGTAGGATGTGACCCTAGTGGTTGACAGCTAATATCACACCCCCAGCTGGCTCATTTCGTAGATGGGTATTACAAATATTACAAATATGTCTAGACTTTTCATTGGTTACTAGAAATTGAAATTGGAAAAATGTTTTCCATTCTTCTAGCATGTAAATAGACAGTGATTTTTTAATTAGAAAAGGCAAGGTTAAATTTACTGGACTACATAAGGCAATACAATTTGTTATTCATAACGAAAATGATGCATTGACAGATTTTTTTCCAGCTTACTGCATATTTCTAAGTCATATTTTAAGGCCTCTATTTACACTTAATTTTAAGGTGTCATACAAATATCACTATGATAGTAAGTTAAATTAAATCTTTTTTTTTTTTTTTTTTTTTTGGAGACAGGGTCTTGCTATGTAGTTCAGGCTTGAACTCCCTGTGTAGCCAAGGCTGGCCTCAAACTTGCAGCAGTCCTCCTGCATCAGGTACAAAGGATTACAAGTGTGTACTACCAAGTCCAGTTTAACAGAAATCTTAAAACAAAACAAAACAAAACAAAACAAAACAAAAAAAGCCCTCAACATATCAGCTCTTAGTTTTCTGTCTTATTTATTTGGTAGTACTGAGGACTGAATCCAGGGACTCAAGCCTGTGAGTCAAGAAGTCTACCCCCAAGCTGTCTGTGTAACACTTCATTTTGAAACAGGGTCTTGCTGAGTTGCTGAGACTGACTTGAGCTTGTGACCTCCTGCCACAGCATTACAGACATGCTCAGCTACTCTCAGTTTAATCTGGTGTTTTAGACCATTAATTCACTACTAACAGAGTTTTTACCTGCCAAGTACCTTAGGCAGATTTTGTAGTTATTTTTTGTTGTCAGATTGGAGCAAGAGCTTAGGGGGAAACTACTAGAATCTAGTATGTAGAGGCCAGGCATGTTGCTGAACATCATGCAGTGCAGAAGACAGTCCCCTATAACCAAGAATGGTCTGGCACAAAATATCATAATAGCAAGGTTAAGAAACCCTAGTTTAGATAAGGTATTTTTAGTGAATAGTGAAAAGCAAATGAACATCATATATAATACGTAACACCACAATATAATAGTTAACAGCAGGTGTCTGTTGTATTCAACAGACAGATTTTGGGTGCCGCCATGTACTAGGAGGTAGGAATTCCAGATATTTCAAAAGCCTGTCTACGTCCGTACCACCCTGAAGGCGCCTGATCTCATCAGATATTTCAAAGGCCTAAGCACCCAGTTCTTAAAAAGCTCACCATCTCAATATGGAAATGATGAAAAAAATTATAAAATAGTATGCAGTGTTTTAAACAGTGCTAGGTGGCAAATAGCTTTTTGAGTAGATCAGAGAAAACTTGACAGAGATGAAGTCTGAGTAGTCTATAGACGTTCCACTTATTTTAGCACTTGCTCAGATGCTAGTCTTGAGATGGACAGCACAGAAGAGCAAACTGCATCTGAAAAGGCCTGGAGGCTTGATGAACAGCAAGAACTGATTGTAAGTAGTGCATTGTGTTGTGATTAGTTTTAGATAGAATTGTGTTTTAAGAGGGCCTTAAATCCAAGGAGTATGGACTTTATGAGACCAGGGCTATACAGAATCTGCATTTTACAAAGACCATTGTAAAGGTCATTTGCAGGACAGAGATGAGAATCCCTTTGGGAGAGGATTTAAGCTGACCCAGTAAATCATGAAGCTCTGAGATAACATAGGAAAGTCTTGTTGACAGGACCTGATAACAACCTTCTTCAGTAAAATAGGACTATAGATAAAGAAGACAACATAAGGTGACTGACTGCAGATTTTACCTTTGGGATTTCGTGGAAACAAGGGTAGAAAATACATAAGAGAGTGGGTAATGGAAATAATTTTTCTTCAAACATGCTGTTTTTGAGGTGCCTAGAGAATGTATAAACTTGTTTGTTTTTCCCCAGGAGCTTGTTGAATACTTTATCTGAATATGATTATTAGAAATAGTACAAAAGAAGCATATAGCTTAAGAGTATATAATTCTCTTCTACATGTGCCAATAATTGCTTTTAAAGCCTTCAAAGTATTACTTTTTTAAATTTTTTTTCCATCTGTAATTTTTTGGAGTGTGGGATAGATATTGAGCTGAAGAATAAATAATTGGATGTTATATGACATTTGAAAAAGTATAGTAAACATTCTGGAGGCCAAGCAACCTTTTATCTTGATAAATGTTTGTACTCAGGTTAGATTCCTAAGATCACTCATTTTGATAGTCTTTGAATAACATTGGCTGAGTTGCATGGATTGCCTCTGATGTACTTTAGATAAGCTTTTGTTTTGAGTTCTTGACTTTTCGTTACTCACATAGGTGTTTACCTATTTTTGCACCATAAGGAAAATTTGTCTTACTCTTTATGTCCAGACCTTTTGCCCTAGGTATTGTTTATACTTCCACTGTAAAATAAATAAATAACTAAAACAGGTGATACTTTTAAACTGTTCACTGAAAATGCATTAGCTAATAAACGTGAAAAGAAAAACAGCTGTAAAATGTTTGCCACTGCATTATTGCTTTACTGTTCTTCACTGAGCCTACTCTGTCACCTCTTTGAGCAGGAAACATACAAAGTTTCTTGTGATTGTTGCTATTAACACTTTATACAGATCTTTTTCCTTTAATCTGTTTAGTTCAGGATCCGCTTAGTACTGGCCTGTGTCCCAGAAGACCATCAGAGATAAGGCTATTATCCTTTCATTGACGATTATCCTGGGAAAGTATTTATAAAATCGAACTCACTTGCACCTGCTGTCCTCCCTTTTTAAATGAAGAAAGGGTGGGAGTGGAGATTGTGTTCAGTGAATTCAGATGAAGCAGTGTGTTTAGCACTAACACAAAGTGCCTTAGTTGATGTCTTTTATACTTTGCAAATGGATTCCATCTTGGGCTCTGAAAGAAATGAGTTGACAATTCAGATCAAAAATTGACAGTCATGTTGGGTGCTCTGCAGTTACTGGCACAGTTGCTGTTTTTTCAGCAATTCTAAAGCAATTCTATAAGCAATTCTAAAGTAGAACTCCTATCTATTTTAGCATTAATCTGAAATGTTTGTTTGCCATTGCTGTCATCTTCTTTTCAAAATTGCCATAAATAGAAACCAGTGGCATTTATCTTTAAACATGAATAATCTTAGAAGAGTTAAGTATTTATTTTTTTTCTTGTGCTACTGGGTATTGAACCCTACAGCATGCTAGTCAAATGCTCCAACACTGTACCATATCCCTAGCTCAGTTGTTTTTGAAATATTTGTCATTGAAATGGAGAATAGTCAAAAGTAAGTTTTAAAACTTAATCTCCCATTGAGTCTGTCAAAACCTGAAAAAATGTAGAGAACAGTGACATATAACTTTTAAGTGTCTCTTTCAAATTATTTTTTGCATTGTCAAATTACTTGAATTATCTTTATTTAAAGTATATCCTGTCTTTGTAAGCATGCTATTATGGCCCACATATTTAAACACTCAGCATGTGGTTTACTGGTTTGTGTCAGTATTGCTGAGTTAAATGACAGTTTTTGGCTTTCCAGAAATTATTTTGATTGATCAAACAAGATATAAATGAAGTGAATTCATTCCCAATTCTGTTGTCCCAACAAACCTGGCCGTATTCACTTTTCTAAATTCCATTCCATTTTCTGCTTATGTGCTTACATGTATTTTTCATAATTAACTCAGGTTGAAGTCTTTCATTTTTGCCTCGTACTGTATTTTAAGATTTTTCTATATGTGGTACAGTGTAGAAGTCCATTATAACATAAATGCAAAGCTATTCTGGTTTTATTTAATAATAAAGTATTTGTCCTGATTAGAAATCTGATAGGAACTTCAATTAATCAAATAAGTGGTTTATGTGACAATGCAGTAGGTGCTCAGTAGAATTAGAGCAGGAGCCCAGATCTTTCAAGTATTCTAGGTACTATGTTACAGAATTAGGTCAGTAAAATATTACATACTAGATTTGGTAGATTGTATGCATCTAAATTTTCATTATTATTTAGTTATATGTTAGTCATACGATCAGAAATAGATGGTTCTATTAATTTAACCTAAGATTAAATTTAAGCTATTTTAAACTCCAAAAACTGAAAAATCACTTTTACCATCTTACCAGTTTATTAAGTATATTTACAGTTAAGAATGTTTCTGCTTTTCTATATAAAAAATGTATTATCTGAACATATGTGCTCTGTGCAACTAGCTTAAATATGCAGTAATGGAAAAAATAGGAAAGAGCAACAGAATGTGTGGTTAAGCGTGGGCTCTGTAGTCAAAGAGATGTGGTGTTTAATCCCAGCTCTGCTACCTACTAGCTCCAGTTCTTGGGCAGGTTGTTTGTCTTATTACTTAGCTTCTGTTTACTCTAACTTGTTTAATAATACCAGCCTTTTAGAGTTATAGTAAATGATATATATCATCCTGTATAAAAGTGACATGTGGCAGACACTCAGTAAAGTTGCTTTTAGTACTTCGTGTTTTTATCTTTAATATTATTAAAATTTGTACATGAATTATATTATCACTAATTTCAAAAAAGAGCCAGTTTTAAATGATTCAGGACTGATGATGTAGATCAATTGAGATTCTTACTAATTTATAATGTTTAACAGTTGTATTAACAAATTAAAGTGAACCAGTACAAGAATTTGTCCAGACTCTTTTTTGCCAGCTAACGTATAATTTTTCTTTCAACAGGCTCAGCACTATGTAGCTACCACATAAAGCCTTCCGAATATACAAAATCTCCTGATTTTTGCCCCAAACTACCAGTTCCAGCGAGGTAAATTTTATTGCAAAGTTATTAACTTATAACTTTTGTTTTCATAGGTAAATTTTACACTGCACATTTTAGACAGAGAAAACAATCACTTGATGATAGCTATCAGTCATGTCCAGTACCTTCACAATAACATTTTAAAAATAAGAATACATGCACCATAAATATTTTTACCTTTTAAAAATGCATACACAAACAACTTTTCTTGTTCTAATATGTAAAAAAAAAAAATGTAAGGGCTTGCTTTCGTTTTTATTTCTATGCCATAATTTTTAAGTATATAAAACTGCCAAATCATTATCAAACCTGCAACAAACTTATAAACCAAGTCTTATTGTTTCTAAAGATCCTTTGAAATTAATCCTAATAACACCAGAATTATTTTTTTAATGTACTATGTAAATTTTAAAAGTATGCTAGTGATTATTCTCTATAGGTTGTTTCAGGTTATATCCTTTAGGTCCTTTCTTTGTATTAGACTATTATCCAACGTCTTATTCAACATTGTTTATTACTTAGTGCAGTGTATATAACAATAAAGCAAGAAATGTTCTTTGGATCACATAGCAATTATAAGAAAAGCAATTTTAAAGTTATGGGTTTTTAAAAATAAAATTTTAACATTTTAGAATATATCCTCAGAATTATGTATGTGTACATATGTGTAGGTGGATGTTCATACACATACACACACTTTGAAATATGTGTGGTCATTTGGCAGGTTTTGGTTCTTTTCTTTTTTCTGAGACAGAGTCTCACTATTAGCCCAGGCTGGCTTCAAACTTCAGTCCCCCTGCCTCAGATTCCCAGCTGCTGGGATTACAGCCGTGCATCACTGTCCCTGGCTTGGCATGTTTCTTTGTTTTATTTTTCTTCATGGTACTGGGAGCTGAACCTGTGCCCTCATATATGCCAGGCAAGCACTGTGTCACTGAGCTACATCCCTAGCCCTGGAGTATGTCTGATCTTGAGAACCTCTGTGTTTATTGCTAACTATATGACATAAATAAACTTCTCCAGGAAAACCATCTTTAAGTCACTTACATTGTACCTCAATATGTAGTAATGACCTGCAGAATAAAAACTTTTTGACATTTGAAACTACAAAAGTAGATCAGGTCTACTTTCTTTAGGATTACTTATGGCTATAACTCATGCTTTAACTTAAATTTGAAATTTTCTGTTGGAAAGTAGAGAAAGGATATACCAGTTAAATTGATTTCCAGCTCTTTTAGTCTTGTGAAGTTGCTACTGAAAATTGAAATTTAAAGCCTTTAGAAATAAAAAGAAAGAGACCATTTTAAAAGATACTAAGAGAGACCTAAAATTTATGGCCTTAAATCAATAAGTAAGGAGATCTCATTCATGAAAAGTAAGATTCTTAAGGAGGTTCTAACAATAAAGCAAAGCAGATCTTTTCAATGGAGTCACAGAAGAATACTGGTAGAAAAACAGAAAAAGCTCTATACATGTATCTATCCACCTGCTAAGTTTGTTTTAAATATACACTTCGAGTGTCAGAAGATTCTCTCAAGGGCAGACACATTACAGAAGGATAAGCGGAAAGCTTGACTAGGAAAATGAAGTTGCTCTGCTCCTATATAATTGTGGGTGTGATGGGATCAGGGAAGGTGGCTTGACTCATACGCCCCACCTTTGACCTCTGACTCTACCACGTAGAGCACTGACTGTTTCTGGCCATCAGGTGTTGCTGTGCTGGTGGTACACATACCTCTCACAGCATCCAAAGGCCATTTACTAGAAGACAAAGCACACTGTTAGACATATGAGTATGTAGATGGACAGAAATGGCAATTAATAAGGTCATCATCTGTGTCACTTACATGAAATGAAATGCTGACCCTATACTACCTGAAAACTGGCTATAACCATGCTTATATTAGGGTTCAAGTTTCTTATGTTTTACTTGTAGTACCTCCCAATCTAAGTACCTTATCACTTGTCTGAACTAAGCCTGTTCAGAAGTAAAAAAGGCAATTAACGGAAAATAAATTTGAATATTATAAATATCAGTTATTTAGTATTTGGCAAAGTAAAAGGATATGAGAACAAGAATAATTTTCTTTTAATTAAAAAAACCATGGGTACCACCCTCTTCCACACATAGATACCAACTCTCAAAAAATGAGTAAGTCTTGGACTCTGTCCTTACCTGGACTCGTAGTCTAGTAGACTCTTGATTGTTCTTTTTTCAGATGACAAAAGACTAGCACCAAGCAGAACTGTGAGGCAGGCAAGTAGCCCTCAGTATCTTTTACATCTTTGCTATCCTAAGAGCATCCTTGTGGGATAGAGGAGCATGAACTTTGAGGCCAGATTACTCTGGGAGTGAGTTCCAAATCACCCTTTTTATTTGTCAGTTTAAACAAGTCTCTTAACCTCTATAAATCAAGTTTCCTTGTGTTAAATAGGAATGTTCATACTTTCTCTCATAGAAATGTTTTAAGACTTAAATCAGATAGTACATGTTATATATCCATTATTGTTCAGGGCAACTGGCTTAGGAAGTATCATTTCTCTGAGCTTGTAAAGCTCTTTCTTTTGCCCCAACCTTCCTGCAAGTGTTGTAGAGAAAGCAATTATGAACTAATTTGTAATAAAATACTAATGACACATAATAGACAAATGGTTACCATTTTTAAGAATATTAAAAGCAAATGCCTAGGAAGAGCAATATTTTAAACAAATTCATAAGTCTACTGCTAAAATGCCAAGTATGGTGTTAGTATAGGGAATAGCTAGCCATATGCTTACAAGGCTGTCATGTATAGCCAGAGAAAACAGCACCCTTGGAGACATATTGCATAAATTCAGTTCATTCATCATTTATTTGGGTACCTCTGGATGATAACAAAGTTACTAGTTGCTGGGGAGTTAGCAATATATAGAAGTAAGAAATGAATAGCCAAGAAGAAATGTTACATAGTCACATATTTTAAGTGGAAGAGTCTCAAATCATCTACTGTGTGTCAGGAAGCATAACTAAATTTCTTACATCTATTATCTTATTCAACCTCAGAAAATCTCTACAGATATTGTTTCTGACTTGTAGATGAGAAAATGGGAAATGAGAGGATAAGTTACCCAAGGACACATAATCATTGTGAATAAGAATTTGAATCCAGGATCTTGTAGAATATGTACCACAGTAGGTGGGATTTTTTTTTTTTCCCATTTTGTTTTGTTTGTGAGTACAGGATTGAATGAAAAGAGAAAAATAGCATAAGGTGAAATGCATGAAAACCACTGTATATTGCTATTAGCTTCACATTTCTTAATTTATTTGTTCCCCTTTTGTATGCTAGGGGAATCTTGTTAGAACCCTTAATTGGTATTCTTCCATAAATGAAACTTGTAGCTTTAGAAATTCTGTGTAGTTGCTTATTTTTAATCTGACATTCTAAAATAATTTTATTAGATCCAGGCTCCTGCCTTCTCTAATGAAGGCATATGGACAAGATATCTTAGGCACTATTTGTTATACTTTAGGGAGCTCATTAACTGTGATAATCTGGACTTAAAGGCAAATGGACGGTGTGTTTGCCAAGGTAAGATACAATTTGCCTATCAGTGGTTTAATTTTTAAAAATCTTTAAAAGACTCATTATAAATTCATTTTGTTCTTGTTGACTAGTGTTTTAATAATGCAAAACATCATCAGTTCCTAATGGGACTTCACTGACTTCTTAAAGCTTCAATGTTCTGTAGGCTTCAAAAGGTAGAAAAACTTACTCTAAATAGAATGCTTATCCTTCATAATTAAGTACAGAATGTTCTATTTAGATTAGACACTAAAGTAGAAATGAGCTCATACTAGGTTATCGTTATTTTGTCAAAGGTGTATATATCAGCTCATTCATTTTAAGTTCATTTTATCAAATGGAATTTAAATGGTAAAATATATGACAAATGATTTCAGTGTCATTATTTACATTTTACAAATAAAATAGTTCAAGGGGCTGGGAATCTACTCAGTGGTAGAGTGCACACACAAGGTCCTGAGTTCAGTTACCATCAGTGCAAATAAAGGAAAAGGAAAAGAGAAAGAAAAGAAAGAAGGACAAAAATAAAATAATTCAAGTATCAAAAAGACACGGCTGATTGAATTGTTTTTGTTTGGGGAGGAGATGAGAAAAAGAATGACAGACAAGGGAATCCAGTGATTTTTACTTTAAAGCTAAGTGTTTAATTTTATTTTTTAATAATATATTCATGTATTATCTCCTTTTATTTGCCTTCTATACTTTTGATTACGATTAAGAGCAGATTTTGACTGTGAGTTAGACAATGCAGTTAATCAGCTTGTGCTAATTTTATAGGTTTAAATTTAGAGCTGTCAGGTTTTTTTTTTAAAGAGAGTAGTAAAAAAAGAACAATAGCAAAATACCAATATCACAGACATAAACAAAACAAAGCAAGAACGTTAAAAATGATACAGAGTTTCAAAACAAAATGATAGGAATTAACAGTGATTGTTATATTGCGTATTGTTGTCTTCAGCTATGGTGCTCAGATTACCAGATGTAAGAATGGAAGATTGTTCAAACCATTAAAGAGAATAAAAAAATAATTATTAAAAAAAAATTAGAGATGATACAGAGTTTCACTAGTCAAGATGGTAGGAATTCACCAGTGGTTGTTCTATTGCATATTGTTGTCTTCAAATCAGTTGCTCAGTTTACCAGATATAAGCATGCAATATTGGTCAAAATATAAAAAATTTTAAGCATTAACTGTTCCTTTCAATAAACTACCAGACATCAGCAGTACCGTTATCCCAGAGCTGTCAGTTTTTTTAAAGTTACATAGGTTAAGCTATAGGGTAAAAAAATTGTTGTTTTGTCCCAGTTTTGAAGGATAATTATAAAAGTATTCTTTGTAATTGGGCAAATGTTTATACACAGTGTGAAAATAATTTGAAAGGGTAAGTTCAGGGCAGATATTATTCAACATTTCCTCCTAGATAAAAATGGTTAGAATTTTTGAGAATATCGCCCTTCCCTTTTCAGATCAACTACACTTATCCCAAGTTAGAAAAGCAGAGGATACTGAAAATACTGATTATGCTGCTCCTATATAATTTAGAGTTGCTGATTTATGGGTTTGCGCTTCGATAATGATGATGATGGTGGTGGTGGTGTGGGGGGTATTGATCTAAAAGAGACTTACAAAACAGTGCTTACTCCTATCCTTTCATAACAGATGCAGAAACTGAGAAAGCAAGACAGAGTGGCATGCAGCTGTGCAATGTTAGAAGAATTTAGACTTTTTTAGTTATTGAGTAGGAAAAAGGAAGCAAGTGAGCAAGGCTAAGAAAATTAGGGGATACTGTAAAGAAGAAAAGGACAGCAATATCCTTAAGGTGGAGACATTTTATGTTCAAGATTAGAGGCAAGTGAGTCTAAGCAGAGGCTACTTCAGAGATAACAGGGTAATATATATAGAGGATGATGATAAAGGTAATTATGGAGCAGAGAGGATTTTAGTTTGGAAGTTAGCCAGACTGTAGTTTAAAATATATCCTTAGACAAAAGCATTATCTTGGCAGAAATAGCATCTAAACAATGTCAGAAAAGAAAGTTGTAAGAAAGAACAAAATTGTCCATTCTATCACTTCTGCCCTAAATCAGCCTTACTTCAGTTGGAAATTTATAGTTCACATCCCTTTTGGTTCTTGTAATATTTCTCACTAAATCCATGGCACTTAAAAGTGTTCTATAATTTAATTATTTTACACCCTTAATGAAATAATTTTTGGTCAGAAATAATCACTTGCATACTTGTAATTCAAACCTTAACTCAGAATGCTCTTGTTTCCTGCAATTTCTAAAACAGTGTCGAATATTTGACATTAGGTTTCACGAATACTATTTTGTTGGTAGATGCAAATATACACCAAGGGATACAAGAGATTTTTTTTAATGAATTATTTGTATCATATTGTTAAATCATTTTTGGATACATTCACTGAAGCATAACTCAGGTAAGTTATTTGCTCAATTATTTTGTTTCAATAATTACAACAGCATGAAAATTGTTCCTTATTCTCACAACCATTGGTGCTCATTTATTAACATTTAAGGAAAATGGATATGTAGTTTACTCATACTCCTATTGGGAAAAAATATTTTTTGAGGAAGGAATCAAAGTGTTTTGTTTTAGCTTATACAAACTTGTTTTCCTGATATTAGAAACTTAGGAATTTGTTACTCAAGCATGCAGTCTTACCCACCAATTAGACCAAAATACAGTGCCAGCCAAGACTCAGAACACATTTACATTGCTCCAGTCAAAAGCGTTATATTACACCTGTCACTGATAGGCCTATGAACAGCTGTGGAAATGCAGGATTCATGTTAATGATAGCTAAATTTCAACTTAATTCACATGAAGTGTGTGTTTATGCATGGACAGAGGGACTCTCCTAGAAGCCTAATCAATCACAACCAAAGGCTTATTCATAGTCCTTTGTTTCAGCTTCTCTGATGTGTATCATCCTCTCGGAAGTTGGAGTAGAACCATGTTGTTATTACAAACCAGATTTACCTCAGCACTCATACATACCTGTGTTCCTTCACAAAACAAAGCTGGACTAAATTTAAATGATTAAGTAATTGGTTATTTTCCCCCTTTTTGGACACTTACAATCTTGGAATCATTAGTTACAATTAAAAGGAAAAGAAAATAGCATAGAATCTCATGACCCTACAGTTTTTTTTATTCTATAAATTTCTTTTTTTGTTGCCATTCTTGTATTTAATTTTTTATGCAGAGATGCCAGCATCATATTACTACATTATAAGCATTTCCATATGTTAGTATGCATAGTTATTTTTTAAGTAGCTGCATATTATATGTTGAGGTTTTGGCATGACTTTGTTTATATCTTTATTAATCTCAAATGCACTGTTTTGTTAGAGGAAACAGTATTAGTGGTGGCACAATTCAAAGTAAAAGCATTTTGTGTTTTTTCTTTTTAAATTGCTTACGGGTACTAATTCGCTTTCAGTTCAATGAAGTATATGTTTGTAAGCCTTATCATCTGCCCTTGACAGATGTGTAGGCTAAGGAATTGAAGTATTTGATTTTGCTTCTAGTGGTTCTGTGTATGTGTGTGTATGTGTGCGTTTCTTTGCAGAAGGGGAGGGTAATGTCTTCTGTTGGAACATGCACTCCACCCTCTTTGATAAGACTTGTGGTAAGATTTGCATCACTACTCATAACAGTCATCTTCATAGCATTAAGCACACAGCTCTTAGCTCCCATAGTGATGAGTGGAGGGTGGAGTGTATTGCAGCCATATTCACCTTTCATTTCTGTGTTTGATGTGGCATTTATATTAAGTAGGAGTAATTTTTTTTCTGATTTTTTTTTTCTTGTGTCACCAGTGCACCTATTCCATTCTTCCATCGCTGTGCTCCTGTGAACATTTCCTGCTATGCCAAGTTTGCAGAGGCCCTGATCACCTTTGTCAGTGACAATAGTGTCTTACACAGGCTGATTAGTGGAGTAATGACCAGCAAAGAAATTATATTGGGACTTTGCTTGTTATCACTAGGTAATTGTTTTTCTCATTATTAGCTATTGCATAGTACTGCAGTAAAAGACTGTTCTGTCTTTTAGCCAAAATATGAGTACAACTGGGGATACTTGTAAAATGTTTAACCTCCCATAGCCAAACTAATGGTTTCAGATTATATACAGTTATAAATATGTACCTAAACTATGTATATACATATCTGAAACTCATTTCCCTTTCTTTCATTGGAGAAAACTGGTCTTTTCCCATACTTTGGTTACTAAGTCTATGACTACCTTTAATATGATAACAAAAGGCATCTTTTAATGAGTCAGCACCTCTGTTTCTAATTATGATTCCAAAAGATGTATTTACTTATGAAAGAGGCCACATATTCTCTTCTATATCTCTAAGAATATACGTATCTGATACATTACTTTTGAAATATGCGGTTTTTTTCATTGGTATAGTTTATAGTATCACTGTATTGCTGGAAAAATTAGAAAATCTCCACTTGTTAGCCACTGAGTTTCTTAGTAAATAATATGATCAAGTAAAAATTTTATTTTCAAAGTGAAAAATTCCTATATCATTCTGGAACTAAACGAGGGGTTGTTAGAACTTATAGGCCTTCTTAGTTGGGAGAGGTAAAGTAGTAGGAACCAAACAGTTATTTCATTTTGTAAGTAAAATTACACCTCTTAACAGCAGTTATAGTCACTGAGAACATGTAAGCTGTATTTCCATCTTTCCTGTCATTAAAAAGTATTTTCTTTTTGCTCAGGTAGTACTTGACTCAATTGAAATAATGCTCTTCATATGAAAATCTAATTCTTTGATGTTTGAAGGGCTCCCATCTATTTTATGTACCTGTACATTTAATAATATTCCTAGAATAGATCCTAATGATTTATTTGGTTTTGTAAATGATCCAAAGAAAGTTGACTTTATGTAAAAATTACTTGGTTTCTGAAACAGTTGAACACTTTAACCAGAAATAATTCTTAAAACTTAGAAATAATGAAAATGATATGTGAACATTGCAATTCCATTTTTTTATTAAAATAATTATCTTTTGAGGCTGGAGAAGATAATATGAACATGAGTATACTTGCTCATTTGCTTGTGTAATGGGCCGTTAGATCATTAAAAAATTGTAAATTATTATTTTGGAAATAAATTTCCCATTCAAGGATTAAATCCGCCCTTTTTTTGAGAATTTTATTCATGATTTCAGCCAGCTTGGATTAGGACAGGTAAAAGGGTTGGCTAATTGAGTCAAAATAAGCTTTGCTCATTTTTGAGGAAGAGTTTTTCAGTCAGCTAAGAAATAAGGATAGACAAATTTTGACCTCAGTAGATTTTAGGGTACTATAGGATCCTTCCATAGAGTTCTAGAGTTAAAGATTTTAAGTGCCCAATAAAGATAAAATGCCATTTGGTTTGTAGATTACAGTTAGAGAAGTTGGTCCATTTAAAAAATGCGTACATTACTCACGGCAGTGTAGCACTAATTTAACTTACCTCAGTCTACATGTGAGAGCTTCTCTTGTCACCAACATAACAAGTCATTCTCTACAATTTGTGTGCTGGCATGTGTGTTTGCATGTCTGACGTCTTTCCCATGGTGCATCCACAACAGTCTTGTGCTGTTTTGAGTCACCATTTGCATTTGCATGTGTTCTTTTCTGTAATTTATAAACCTACACGATTAGGTGCCTTTCTTTTTTTGAGTGGTGCTATTTCAGTGGTGCAAGTAGCAAAATCAAAATACAAGAACAGCCAGTTTCTTTTCCTACCTAAATTATGGTCACGAAGTACTCAAGAGCAACAAATTACATTATTTCCTGGGAATGAACAACAATTGAAGGGATTTCTTTTTATATTCTCCTATGTTTTCAATAATATTGTACATGTTCTCTGTCTTCCCTGCAGTTCTATCTATGATTTTGATGGTGATAATCAGGTATATATCAAGAGTACTTGTATGGATCCTAACAATTCTGGTCATACTGGGTTCACTTGGTAAGCTATTTGTTTATTTTCTTGGTGCTAAATCCATGGTAACAAACAAATGTAAAGAAGAATATAAAATTTTTATTTCCATATGCTATATCTTCTTAAAAAGTGTTTTAAGATTTTATAATTATATTCTCCTTCCTCATTTCACTACTGTTACCATTTGCTCTACTGAAGTCCAGACCTTTTTACTATGCATATGTATGTGGTTATATATTACTCAGTTAAATTTTTAGCTTGAAGGAAATCTGTCTCCATTTACATTTATAACCTAATTGTTATGTTTAGTTTTACTGTTCTCTGTTTTACATTTTCCTAAAATCCATGCTTTCTTATTTTGTCTTCTCTATCTTAGCTATATATTTTTTCTGATTATCTTCACCCTTGGATGGTATGCATAATATTTTTACATCTATATTTGGTAACATATATTTTTCAGAATATATTCTTCAGACTTCTATGATTATTAAAGACTGAAATGGGATATATTGAGTTATTCTTTACCTTCTTTAAAACTTAGAATGAACTTTTATTTCTTTTATCTCCTGCTCTTTTCTGCACACATCACTTTTTAGCTTTATTAAATAACCTGATCTTTTGTATTCAGGTTATTTTTAAAGTTAAAATACTATTTTCACATATTGTATCTTTTAAAAAATTGTTTACCTTTACCTTGAAAATTTTTTTGTTTTTTTGTTTTTCTGGTACCGGCAATTGAACTCATGACCTCACGCTTGCCAGGCAGGTGCTGTGCAGCTGAGCTAAATCCCCAGCCCCCTACCTTGAAAATTTTCAAAATTTTGCTTACATTTGGTTTTAAGTTTTCCTGGGCTAATTGTAATAAAAACTGCTGGTCTTTTGCCCATAAACCCTCATGCTTAAATTCTTCTTTTTGGTTCTTTATATTGACTAGAACTGAAATAATTTATTCATGAAGGACTTTTGGAGTATGTATTGTCTCAATTTTTGTTTATCACATTGAAATCACTGGGTGTAAAATTCTTCATATACAGTATGTTTCCTTGGGTCTGGACTTCACATTGAAATCACTGGGTGTAAAATTCTTCATATACAGTATGTTCCCTTGGGTCTGGACTTTCAGAGAAGAACTCAGAAACAAAGACTACTGTAAATTTTGTTTATTTACTTCTAACTTGTTTCATCTACCTCCAGTTTATTCTTCTGTGTGTGGTACTGAAGATCAAACCCAGGGCCTCACCCGTGCACTCCACCGCTGAGCTGTATGACCAGCCCTATGATTTTTAAGAAAGCCTTTTAATTGAAAGATTTTTGCCTAATTCTTGATCTTAAATTGTCTTTGGCCTTTTGAGAAGAATTCTTTTTCTATGCTGGATTTTTTTATTTCTATATTTAGTTTTTATTTTTATGCCAGTGATTTTTCTTACGGTCATTGTTTATTCCTCAACTGTTTTCTTCTGTATTACCATTTCAATGTCTTTGTCATTTCCTTTACATTTCAGTTCTTCAAGTTTATTTGTGTATTACTGATTTAGTTTTTCTCACTCTCACTTCTGTAATTGACTGCCTAAAATGAGGATCTAAATTTTGTTATTCCAATTTCATTTTATTTGTAATATTCCTTCTTTCAGTTATCTTTTTCCTTCAGTTTTATAGCCTTAATATCTAATTCTATGTTTAGATGGATAGTTATTATAATAAATCTGGGTTTCAAACACAACTATGTTGCTTACTACATATTTGGCATGTTACTCAATTTCCTGAATTTCAGTTTTATCATTTTTAGAATTAGTAATAATCAGTTACTAATGTTGTGATTAAATGAAGTCAAAGCTGTAAAGGGTTAGCATATTTCTTAGCACAAATTTAAATGTTTAATAAATCATATCTACTGTGACTGTTCTGAACGTTTTATCTCATTCTGTTTTCCTTAAACTTCAGCTTTTTTTGTAACTTTTATTCTGGTTTGTTGAAAACATATTTCCTTCCATTTTAAGAAGAATGTATGGTTTCTGAAACCATTTTCTTGTACCTGCAAGATTTTAAAATGGAAGTCTTTTTCCTAGACTGTTGGTTGTTTCGATTTCTTTACTCATCTTCAGCAAGAGAAAAATTCATGGTTAGTATTTACTAACAGATAGGATATGAAATTTCCCTTTGACCTGTTCATTCTTTGAGTACAGGTAGAAATTAGGTTGATTGCATAGACATTAGCCAAGTTTTGGGGGCATTTATTTTTTCGTTTCCAGTGTGCATGCTAGGTAAGTCCTCTTTGACTGAGGTACACCCCCAGCCCATATACATTTATTTATCTTTCTGCCTGCATATGCCACTCTACTCTGAATCATTCTTCCTCACTGTGGCCTACAAGGGCTTATCATATAGTGTGGTCCCCAGCTATCCCTCTACTCACATTTATTATCACTTTCACACTTGCTTACTGCTGTGGCTAAGTGGTTTCCTTTTTCTCATGCTAGGCATAGTCCAACCTTAGCATCCTAGAACCTTCCCTGGGATATCTTTTCTTAATTTCGTAGATTGCTTTCTCTCAGTCTTCTGATTCCCTTGCTCAGACATCATCTTCCCAGTGAGGCTCTGCTTACCCATATGTAAAACTGCAGTGCTTTCCCACCACAAGCACTAGCCCTCTCACCAGACTTTTTTTCTTTACATTTTATGTTTCTGTTTATCTCCCTTTTGTTTATTTGCATTTCCCAATTGGTTTATAACCTCTACCAGCAGTGAGAGTGGGTCTTAAATGGTGCAGGAATTCAAAATGTTTGCTGAATGAGTGAATATAATTCAGTTATCTTACGTTGAGGTAGGTTTGCCTTCAGTCTGGTTCTCTGAATCTCCAACTCTGTATTAAAAATTAAGATGCTTATCCCTCACACCCACTGCTATAAGATTTCCTGTCTTTATTCCTACTGTTGGAGGAACTCCTCTTTTGATCTTCATTTTTTCTATTCTACAGATATTTAATCAATTGCAGGACTGTGTCAGCACTAGGCACTGGAGTTACAAATTCCTGTCAGAGATATTTGTGACTGGTTCTCTCTCAGCTTCAGGAAGTCGAAGATAATTTCACTTAGAGGAAGTTTATTTGATACACTGAAGAATTTGCAAATGCTTAATGTAAAAGATGATAATGGTGTAATTGGCAAAAAGTTACAGCCTCACTCCTCCCAGCTAAATGGATTGTCACTGCATAAGTTCCATATTGATGTAGATGAAAGGCCCAGAAAACTGAGAATTTTGTGTCACATATTATCTTATGCCAGTTATTACAAAAACAATTGTATTTTTGTCTCCAGGTGGCACAGGTGTACTATGGTGGCTGTATGCAAAGCAAAGAAGATCACCAAAAGAAAAAGTTCTTCCTGAACAGCTTCAGATAGCTGAAGACAGTCTTCGGGCCCTCCTCATCTATGCCATTTCAGCGACAGTGTTCACCGTGAGTATAGGCTCAGGTCGACCATTAGTTCTTTGCTTTTATTTGCAGATCATTAATGGGGCAGAAACTTATGTCTAGCTTTTACATTCCTAACCTTCACCTCCATTAGATAAAATCTCTGTCTCACAATATACAAAACACTAAAAAGTCTGTTGGAGGCTTCCCAAATTGACAAATGCCCTTTGATACAATATTCTGCTCTGCCCTATATACTATTTGAGAGAAGGGTAGTATTATTATTTGCAAAGAAAAACATATTTCTTAATATTATAAAATAATTATTTTTTTAAAAATACTTCCCCTTACTATAGGAAAATATGTTGAAAATTTCTTATCATTTCATTTACTTAATTACTAATTATTTTCCCATTTTTTTCACTTACCTTTTAACATTATATATTATACCAAAAATGCAGGTAAGGTTCATTGCTTAGTTATTCTATAGTGAAATTACTAAAATTTGGTTAAATAATCTGTATGCATCTTTAGTGCACAGATTATCTCTTCTCTGAAGAAAAAAAAAATCAGTCCATTTCTACAAGCAATGCAAAGCTATTTTTGAGCATCCAAAACAAAACAACAACAAAATGAAGCCACTGTAAAAGCATTGGTGCCAAAAACTATTTGTTAATTACGTTTTTAAGTATAATTCTCTGTGCTCAATGCTGGGCATAGAGCATAGGGTTAGGAAGGAGGCAAAGAGTGATTCTGCCGTGGAACCCACTTTTAAGGAGTTCTTGTTCTGCTAGTCCACTGAGGACGATGAGACTCCAATAAACAGCTTCTTTGTTTTGGGGTGCTGGCATCTGGTCCTCTCACCCTTTTCAGAAGGACAGGTATGTTCTAATGAGCCTTACCCTGACTCACATATACCACATTTTGATTGGTAATAAGCAAGGAAAGGAATGTTGAAGAATTCTAGGATTTAATAAATTGAGAAATTCTTTTATGTTTGTCTTTAACAAAAACTTAGAACCATAATATAATTGAAAATATAAATACTGTAAAAGAGATGAAAATTAAACATACTATAGTATGGGGATTCAGAGAATCCTTCCCGTTTTGAGATTTTATTTATTTATATTTTTTAAACTGCAAAACAATTTACTATGCAGTTTCCAGGGATTAGGGCTATAGAGAAATTTGAGAAAACCTTAGTCATTTGTAATGGTCATCTGTGGGTGTAACCATGAAAGGAAAAAGTTTATTCTTATGTCCATTTCCTTATTAAGTAAACTACACCAAAACTGTAAGATAACAACACAGAAAGATCAAAAGCACAAAGGCTGAAGATAAGTTAGGTTTGACACCTACTATATAAATGACAGAGGCAACACAGTGTTCTCTTGTTTATTGCTTAAAACAGTAACTTGACCCTTTCCCTCCATTCTCTCCATTTAGGTTATCTTATTTCTGATAATGCTGGTGATGCGCAAACGTGTTGCTCTCACAATTGCCTTGTTCCATGTGGCGGGTAAGGTCTTCATTCACCTGCCACTGTTAGTCTTCCAACCGTTTTGGACCTTCTTTGCTCTTGTCTTATTTTGGGCATACTGGATCATGACACTGCTTTTTCTTGGCACTACTGGTAAGCAGATATGTTGCTTATTTATCTTAATGATATGTCTAATTTGCACTCAAATATTTTAAAGCATCAAGAGGGACTTGGAGGTATAAGTTGGTATGGAGCTCTTGACTTGGATGCATGAGGCCCTGGGCTTGATCCCCATTGCTTCCCCAAAGCAATCAATCGGCCAATCACTCAGTCTTCATGTGTTTCTTGACAAAGGTCCAAAAGCCATCAGATCTAGCAGTGGTACTGGCTATTCAGTAACCCACTCTCTGTTTATAATTTTTAAATCATCCTATTAATGTGGGTCTAGACCAGATAAGGGCTGAAATTACATCACAGTTTTGAGATGCTCATGGGTATGAAGTGAGTTTAGTAATGATATAGACATTTGGATCCATTCTAAAATGAACTAACAAATGCAGAATCTCACCAGAGTTGCTTCAAAACCCAGTATCACCACGGATCAGCTTGCGTCCTAAGGATTTTCTACAAGCACCCTTGCAGCTGACACAATTCATAGATTCTCCAACTTGCTAGTGGCCCTACTGAATACCAAAGATTAAACCAAAATGGAATTAATTGTGAGGAGTAGTAGTAGGATAATAAGCTTGTATGCAACTTTTTTCTCCACCAAGCACACACTCACCAAATGAGTGCAACGTTAATTTCTGTCCTTACAGTTTATTAAGATTTATAATTACTGAATAAGTAATAGCTCTGAAAAAAAACTGAAGTGTTTGAAAATTCTTGCCTAAATAACTAATAATGCAATAAGAATTATATCCAAATACAGCAACTTTTTTTTTTTTTGTACCAAGAATCGAACTCAGGACCTTGTACTTGCCAGGCAGGCGCTGTACTGCTGAGCTACTTCCCCAGCAAGCTTTAAATGGTGCCTTTGAGGAAACCAAAGTGCATAATTGTAAAATGTTTAACAACTTAAAAAAAAAATTCTGACCCTTAATGAAATAGCATTAAGAACATTAAATTTCTGGTTTGGGAACAGAGATCTGTTGTTGAAAATTGAACTAGTCTCATATTTAACAGCTACATTTCTTTCTTTATACTTTATGTGCTGCTTCTTTTCTTCCTTGACCTTTTCCTAGGCAGTGCTGTTCCCAATGACCAAGGCTTTGTGGAATTTAGAGTTTCTGGTCCTCTGCAGTACATGTGGTGGTACCATGTGGTCGGCCTAATTTGGATCAGTGAATTTATTCTAGCATGTCAGCAGATGACTGTGGCTGGAGCTGTAGTAACATACTACTTTACTAGGTAAGAGTTTATACTTTCCAAGACCATGTTTGCAGGGTTGAAGGGAAGAGAACAGGACTGAGGTGGGCAGGCATTTCTTTTCTTTAGAGCAGTAGTTGGAAATGAATATAATAAAATATTATATTTGATAATTCTGGGAGGTAGGAAAATTGGAGGATGTTATTCTTTATACTTTTTATAATTGTCTCAAAGTTTTTCAGAACAGCTGGTCATGATATAACTTCAAATTATATTTAGCAGAAAAATAAATCTTGTAATAGTACCATGTATATTTATGCTTTGTAAAAAAGTCCATCAAAAAACAAGTTTTTTAATTCATTTGGATCAGAAGAACTGTGAATCCTCTTTACTAACCTTAGAGCTAATATTAAAGCTATAATTGTCTGTTATAGTGAGGTTCCAGGTCTAGATTAAATGTCTTTTAAGTTCTTTTTTCCAATTATATGTTTAACTCCTTAGGTACTCCTTGATATGAGCTTTCAAAGCAGTTCTAATAAATATGAAGTAATAGAGCATACACATCGTATGAAACTACCACAGAGAAATGAAAAATTAATTTTATATAGCACATATGTAGCATTTGTATTAGTTATATATTACTTTGCTACTTTGTCATAAATATAAACTGACTTTTCACTGCATTGGATTCTAAACCATAATTCAGTTTCTACTTTGGTCTGTGCTTTATTTTAATTGTCTTTTTGATCATTTTAAACGTAGGGATAAGAGAAACTTGCCATTTACACCCATTTTGGCATCAGTGAATCGCCTTATTCGTTATCACCTTGGTACTGTGGCAAAAGGATCGTTTATTATCACATTAGTAAAAATTCCACGAATGATCCTTATGTACATTCACAGTCAGCTGAAAGGAAAGGTAAGGGAAAAATGCCTTTTCTGGACTTTCTATGGGTATATTCCAGACCTTAGTTCTTCATGTAGTAAAGTACCCAGTGATGTTAAATGAAAACTTGTGGGTGTTTACTACAAAGTAAATTGTAGTCCTTGCTTCTGATCTCCTACATAAGCACTCCATACACTCTGCCAAAATTCATCTAATCACTGGTCATCCAGAGTACTCATCATTTCTCTCAGATTGACTCACATACTGGGGTTAGTCAGCTTTCTGTCACTGTGACAAAATGCCTGAGAAAAACCATTTAAGGACGGAAAAGTTTTTCTGGCTCACAGTTTCATTGGTTAATGAAAATTTTTCTTTTTTTATTTTAAAGAGAATTTTAAAAACAATAACAAAATAACAACATAGACAAAAACCAAACAGCACAAAAACAATCAAAATGATACAAGGTTTCAAAACAAAATGTTAGGGATTAACAGTGGTTGTTATAGGTTTCACTCCACTGCTTTTAGGCCTGTGGTGAGGTAGAAATGTCATGGCAGATGGGTGGGGCAGTGGGGATTAGCCAGGAAGCAGACAGGATGGGAGTCAGTGATAAGATGTAGTTCCCGACATCCTGCCCCTTCACCCACTTCCTTCACTAGGCCCCACCTCCTTATGACCTATTCAGCTGTGTACTAACTCATCAGTGGGTTAATCCTTCAGTGGCAACCCAGCCTTCAACACAGTCAGCCTTTCAGGGGACACCATAGATCCCAACCATCGTACATGCCTTCTTCTTAAAACCTCTTCCATATTCTTTTCCTTTTTAAAAATTTTTTAGTGACATATAATAATTGTGCAATACTAAAGTCAGAATATTTAGCATGACCACACATATGTATTTATCATTTTGTGGCAAGAACTTTTAAATTCCTCTTTTCTAGCTGTTTTGAAATACCCATTATAGTATCATTCACCATACTCTCCCTAATGTGTAATAGAACACCAGAAGGTAGTCCTTTTGTCCAATAGTAATTTTGTACCCACTAAACAACTCTACTAGAAGAAAACAAGAGACGAGCTCCATGACATTGGTCTAGTACATTATTTTTTAGATAAGACTACAAAAACACAGGCAACAAGAGCAGAAGCTTCTGTACAGCAAAAAAAAGCAATCAACCTCCAGAATGGGGGAAAAAAATGTGTGTTTAGCATTCTTTTCCTCCTATTAAATTATAATTTCCTTGCTAGTTTTACATACCTCACTGTATCATACATGCAGTAGGTACTAAATAAATGATGAATCAAGCTGCTTAGAAATAATTTAGCCATTATGTTTTAAGAAAGGAAAGGGTAGGTGTGGAAGTTTTAATGCGTTAGTTGTGACCTCTTACACTTTTACTTATTTTTTTTAACATTTGAATTCTTACGTGTGATTGATTTTTTTGGTCTTTTAATTATTTTACTTTTACTCCCTCATCCAGGAAAATGCTTGTGCACGGTGTATGCTGAAATCGTGTATTTGTTGCCTTTGGTGTCTTGAAAAGTGCCTAAATTATTTAAATCAGGTAAAATATTTTAAAAATAAATGTTTCATTTTCAAAGATAGTTTTCTTATTTCTTAAGATAAAATAACTGGATTTAATTGAAAGATGCTGTTTTTCTTATAGTGTTGTACATTGTGCCTTGAACAAATATGTCTATTTTTACTGTATTCTTATTTCTTAAACTAATACAGATTTTACCAAGGCTCTAATTTTAGTGCATGGATAAGACATCATTAAGAGTCATCTTTCTCAAAGACATTTGTCTCTTAATTCCCATTCTTTCATTTTTTATTTTCCCTAAAAATCTTTCTACTCTAGCTGTTGTTCTTTAATTATTATAAATGTTGTTTAAAAGCTTTAGTTTAGGGCTAGGGATATATCTCAGCAGCACAAGCACCTGCCTGGCAAGTGCAAGGTCCTGAGTTTGATTCCCGGTACCAAAAAAAAAGAATAAAAGCTTTAGTTTAATATAAAGCTGTTGTGACACTTGTTCCTTTTTGCAGTTATTACTATCATTCAAAATCCTCTGTGCTGATATTCCCACCCTGCAACTGCTAAGCACTATTGTATGGCTTAAGAAAGATTATCAAAGGAAGTGCTATTTTTAAATTTTCATTAGGACATGTTTGTGGTACATAATGATTATATTCATCATGGGGAGTTGGTACATATATATAACACATCTTAATTCTTTTTACATCCTCTTCCTTTCTACTCCCTCCAAAGAAGTGCTGTTTCTAAGTTTGACTGGAGGAATGGATGCTTACAAGATAATAATTTTTAAGGGAGTAGGTTGGGTGTCTGTCTTTATTTATCCAAGCATGTAGGACTTGCTGTGGAGCACTCTACTCATCTTTTTAATTTTTTTTTGCTACTTCTCTATTCCTTGAAAATCATTGTAGTGTATTGATGCCCTTATCTAATAGGCCAAAGACGAAATTGACCCTCACCATTTACCTTTAGAGGACATGTCTCTTCCTTTCCTGAAGGAAGGAAATGACCCAGGCCTCCTGGGACCAGCGTCTAAATTGATTGACTTTCTCCTCACTTACCTCTAAGTACTGTACTTTCTGTTCACTCCAAGGTAGTCAGAGAATGACAGTTCTTTAGCCATGGTATTGAGCATGCCTGAGCTTGGCTTTATTGGGCTTTATGGCTAATACAAGAAAGTAGGTATGATGTTTCATTACAAAAATACATTCTTGCCAGTCATAATATTCTCTGTGGATGTATAAGGGAATCTCATTTTAAAATAATTAGTAACACCAGTGAGGTATGGTAGTGCATCCCTGTAATTCCAACTACTTGAGAGGTTGAAGCAGGAGGATTATAAGTTGAGACTAACCTGGGCAACTTAGTGAGACCTGTCCAAAATAAAAAATACAATGAGTTGGGGGTATAACACAGTGGTAGAGGGCTTGTCTAGCATGTGTGACACCGCAGTACCGTTACTGGTCAGTTAAGTCCGAATGCTTGTGTTGTTTGCTCACCTCTAACCAAACCAAAGGAAGCCATTTATTTCTTGGTGAAAAGGAAAAAGGCTTTACTCGAAGCTAGTTCCAAGAACATGGAGGTGCCTCATTTGCCTCAAATCACCATCTCACTTTGTCCAAGTGTGCAAGGGTCTTTTCTGTAGTAAGGAACAAAGAGGGTGGGAGCACAAATGGAATAGTAGACATGCTCCAGACATCTGCAGCATAAAAATTATTGATGCCCCCATCTATCTTCATTTCTCTTCTTTTCCTGAAAGAAGGAAATGGCCCAGGCCTCCTGGGACCAGCATCTAAATATTCTGCCCATTCATGTGGGCTAAGGAGGGGAGAGGGCAGCATTTAGGCTCTGGGTCCAGGGAAGTTTGGAGAAGCCACTTGTCTCTAAAGGAAAAAATTACTAACTTTTATAGTTCTGTTTTGCTGTACAAATTACAAGACATTCCCCACATCACTATCCACAACAATTTGAAAAATTACGTTGTTTATAATTTGGGCTAGTGCTGATGCAGAAAGTTGACAGATACTCCAAAGAGCATCATTACATGTTATAGTTACAAGTAGCTTATCCTGAGAGAGACAGGCTAAACCCAACTCTCCCATCTCAGTTCCTGCTACCTTCCATAGGCCCCTTTTTACTGTTACAGCTCCCTAAATATGGCTAGAGTGACTTCCTTCCCACACGGGACTAGCTCCTACCTGACTAGAGATTCTGCATGAGTGAAGCTTTCCCTTGTCATCCAGCCCCTCCTCCAGCTTCCACGACACCAGTGCATCCTTGTGAAAACAGTAAGAAATTGGAATTGCCTGTTGCTTCTTGGTCTTAACTTGAGGCTTCTAGCTTCTTAAAGGCAGGGATCTTATCACCCCAGAAACCTTTCTGCCTCCAGTGTGAATCCCTGCATTCTGAATAAGGAGTTCCTTCCTCCCATGCACGTAGGATTGAGCCTACATCTGTCCTGTGCAGTGGAGAGAGCCCAGATGTCCCTGATGTGTTTCAGTTTCAACCGTGTAGCTCTTCGCCAAGTTTACTGAAACCTGTGAGTCTCAGTTTCTTCAGTATGCAGAGAAAAATATACCCGTCCTAAGTATTAGATAAGGATGAAACTTGTGCAGGTAAATCAGCTCTTTTTTTACAATACCTGGCTCTTGGTGGACACCTTCCTGCAATTTTTTTTTGTTTGTTTTTAAATAAACTCCTTTTCTTAGAGTAGGATTTATGCAAACATAAGACATCTGTAGCAAAGATGATCCAAAACATAATTCAAAAATACATCAATTTTTTTCCAAAGCCATAATATAAAACGTAAGAGTGTAGAAAGCCAAGAACAAAATAGCTCACCGTGCTAACATAATGGTTACTATCTTTAAAATACTAACTACTAGCTTTGAGGAAAAGTTTGTGATATTTTATTTTGGCATAGTAATATCTGATAATACTATATAAACCTTGCCTGTGAAGCAGAGATAATAATAGTTTCTACAGTGCTGTTTATTTTGAGACTGAAGAAAACAATGTCTGCAGCGCTCTGAGCATGTGCTTGCATCATAGGAACCCCCACTGCGTGGCGCTCAGTGTACAGTAACATCCACAGTTTCTTCTCGATTTAATAAGCAGTGGGTTTTTTTCCTCCTCCTGTCAGGTGTGTCAAACTTTTTCAGTGGTCTCTTAGTTGGCAAGATTTCCCACCTCAAGATAAAAATTTTCCTTTCCTTCCTTCCCTCTAACGGAATTCACTTCAGGTGGAGAGATTGTTGCAACCAGATTCTCCCTTCCTCCCTCCCTGTCTCCCTCTCTCCCTTTCTTGTTGGATCTCTCTGTGTAGTCAGTAGTCAGGCTGGCCTCAAAATTGCATAAGACTCCTCCCTGAGCCTTCAAGTCCTGGGATTACAGGAGTGTGCCAACATACTCAGCTGTTTTTGGAGGATTTTTTAAAACTTTTTTTTCTGGAGTTTAATCCACTGTTCCAGGATCAGTTAGTGACTAGTCGATCATTCTTCTGCTAAGAAATGTCAATTTAATTGTATACGAGCACTTAACTATCATACTTGAAGTCTATCTCAAGACTTTTTCCTTATCATTGATCTGCCTATTCTTACACCAATACTGTAATATTTAATTATTATTGTTTCATTGTATGTCTCAAAAATCTTACGATAGTCTTTCTCATGCTTAGTTTTTAAATATTTTTTTTGTTTAATCACCTGTTTACTCTCTGAAATTATCCTTGAGATACTCAAGAAAATACAGTGAAACAGTACTGTTAATTATATTGTCAGCTCAGATTTCTTGCATGCTTACTGTGTAATAGGCACTGTGCTTCATATTTTATATTTCACATGCAGAATCCCACACACACTTCTTTTTTTTTTGGTGGAGACGGGTTCTCGCCAAGTCACAGAATTGCCCAGGCTGGGCCTGAACTTAGGAACTTTCAGTCTTAGCTTACCGGTATGTCAGGATTACAGCTTTATATCACCACACCTGGCTCAGAATCTCCCCTTTGCAAATCTTCCTTGTCAGGCACTCTGGAAGATGCTTAGGGATGAGTTACTTATGTCCCTTTGTGTTGTTTTCTCCCTTCTTTATCCCATTTTTATTTTAAAGATTAAAAAAACTAACAACACAGTATTGAAGACAAAATCAAAACAACACAAAAACAACAAAAACAATACATGACCTCAAAACAAAATGCTAGGAATTAACAGTGGTTGCTACATTACATACTGTTGTCTTCAACAAAGTTACTCAGCCCACCAGACAAAAGAATGTAAGATTGATCAAACAATCAGAGACAGTAATCAGTAATAAAAAAAAACATTGGAAATGATGCAGAGCTTCACCATACAAGATAGTAGGAGTTCAACAATGGTTCTTATACTGCATATTGTTGTTTTGTTTTGTTTGTGGTACTGGGGATTGAACTCATGACCTTGCACTTGCCAGGCAGGCGCTTAGGCCACTGAGCTATATCTCCAGCCCACTGTATATTGTTGTTTTCAGATTCCCATCCTTTCTTTTGCTGTCTCTCCCTGAGGTTTGCATACAGCCTGTTAAAAGTCTCAACCAAGACTGGAAAATGCAGCACATGGCAGAGTTGAAATAATGTAAACTTTACAACTGAAGTGCAGTGTGTATAGGGTGAGGGTGGGTAGAAGACAGCAGAGAACACTGGAGCTCAGTGGTAGGGAGCTCATACTTCATCTAAAGAAAGCATTCACTATCTCTGTCTTATAGACTGTAGCTGTGTGAGAATTTATGGACAAGTTTTAGCTTTTCCAGTTTTTTAAGAGAAGCCAGAATTGTAGCTATTTATATTTTGTCTTCTGCTATTAAAATGACAACTAATAAAACAAACTCTGAGTACACTAGAGTCAATAAGTCTTTGGGCTACATGATGTCAGTTGTCAGTGGGCCATCAATTTTTTGCCACTGCTTTAGCGAATTTACAGGGCTTAGTAAAGAGGAGTGTTGATAAGCCATTTATTATTCATAGCACAGGTGCTGGCTTTGCAAACAGTGATCTGTGA